AAGATTTATTTATTTATCATGTATACAGTGTTCTGCCTGTGCATTTGCCTCTAGGCCAGAAAAGGGCACCAGATCTCATTACAGGTGGTTCTGAGCCACCATGTGGTTTTTGGGAACTGAACTCAGGACCTTTGGAAGAGCAGACAGTGCTCTTAACCTCTGAGCCATCTCCAGCCCCCTGTGGAGCATATCTTTAATCCCAGCACCCAGGAGGCAGAGGCAGGTGAATCTCTGTGAGTTCAATGCCAGCTTGGTCTACAAAGGACAGCCAAAGACATATAGTAAGACACTATGTCAAAAGGTCTAAAAAAAAAAATTAAGATAAAAATAATAATGCCGGGCAGCAGTGGCACACACCTTTAATCCCAGCACTCAGGAGGCAGAGGCAGGCGGATCTCTGTAAATTCGAGGCTAGCCTGTTCTACAGAGCAAGATCCAGGACAGGCACCAAAACTACAAAGAGAAACCCTGTCTTGAAAAATAATAACAACAACAACAATAATAATAATAAATGAAGCTGGGTATGGCGGTGCACGTCTTTAATTTCAGCACTCAGGAGGCAGAGGCAGGCAGATATGTGTAAGTTCAAGGCCAGCCTGGTCTACAGAGGGAGTTCAAGGACAGCCAGGAATATACAGAGAAACCCTATCTCAAAAAAAGAAAAATAGTAATAATCATCATCATAATAATAAATAAAAAGAAAGAATGAACTAGCATACTTGTTTAAAAACAAATCATTCAATAAAAAATGACATCCACACATTTTGTTTTGTTTTGTTTTGTTTTGCTTTTTGCTTTTTGAGACGGGGTCTCTCTACATAGCATTGGTTGTCCTGCAACTCACTGTGTAGACCAAGCTGGCCTCAAAGTCACAGAAATCCTCCTGCCTCTGCCTCCCCAAGTGCTGGGATTAAAGGTGTGTACCACCACAGCCGGTTCAGCATCCACACAATTAAGACACAACTGGTGCCGGGCGGTGGTGGCGCACGCCTTTAATACCAGCACTCTGGAGGCAGAGCCAGGCGGATCTCTGTGAGTTCGAGGCCAGCCTGGGCTACCAAGTGAGTTCCAGGAAAAGGCACAAAGCTACACAGAG